GATAAAAAAAAGACAGACAGTTATTTCTACTTTAAGAGGTGAGATGTAAAATCTGGGTTTAATACGTGCTGTGAAAAATAATAAACATCTTCCCCATGTTCCAGGTGGTGAGTCGATGTTACCAGCTGCTGACGTCTGTGTTTCAGGCTCAGCCCGGTGTGGCCGTCCCATACATCCAGGCCCTTGGCCCGCCTCTGGTTCGATTCCTCCAGGTACAGAACCAGAACACGCAGCTGCACCTGAGACACCCAAGACTGAACTAGGTGTTTGAATGTTTGGCTTTTTTCCGCCATAGCATCCAGTGGAGCCCGTGCAGTGGTTGGGCTTCTGCATTTGCTTTTTAGACACTTTAGTTTTTACATTTGAATCTCAGAAATAAGCTTTTTATGAGAACTGAAAGTAAAACATGAGATGTAATTTAAACATTCTTTTTTTGTTGTTTTGGAGTTTTATGACTTTATTATCAAGTGGAAGGTAGTGAGATGACTGGAAACAAAGTCTATCTTTGAAGAAATATCCATAAGTCTCAGATTCAAGAAAAATATAGGTGTGGCTGCAGAATCATGGGTTCTTTTAAAAATAATGGACAACTGATCATGAAGAAATACAGCACATTTCTGAAACAGCCTGTTTGCTTCTTAGTCTCACTTTACGAAGTCTAATCTCTTGAACCGATGAATACACACGAGGCAAAAACAAAAATTTTATGTTGATATATTGCAGGAGGCACATACACAGAGCCACATTCATACACCAGTCAGCAGGGCACAGTTCAGCTCCTTGTCTGTGTGTGCAGCTGCTGCCTGATGTTCGGTTGGTTCTTACAGCATACTGATCACATGATGCGTTCCCTCCTCAGAAGGCGGAGAGGCGTCGTCCTCAGAGTCCAGAGGAGCTGCTGGGAGTCGTGGAGGGAGTCCGAGCCCTGGAGGCTCTGGTCCAGGCTGCCGAGGAGTCACAGCGTGAGCACAGAGAAGAGCCTGCTCTCTAATGTGTCACATGATAAATTCAGTGTAATGTCCATCTCGGTACAGCAGAGTCATGTCACCCTCCCCAGTCAGTGATGAATGTTCTCGGCTCCACAATAATACTGAGTTATTCTCCATGTGCGAGCTGCTGGTGGTGAAACTCATCAATTAGTGTACAGGTTTCAAATGAAAAGCCTGCCTTGTCCTCAGAGTTTCTGGAAGGTTCTACGATCTGCAGCAAGTGTTAAGTTGCACCAACACCAGCTTAACACTGTTAGCGGGTTAATGGGCCGAGTATTTCTGTTAACCAGCCATGACTATATATTAAATGTACAGCTATGGCCTTTCCTGTCCTGGGGTGCATCTCACGCTTTGTGATAGCATCCACGTTTCCTTCACTTGCCTCTTTTTCTTGTGTCTTATCTCTTGCTCTGATCCTTCACCTGAAGTGTCTGATCACCAGCTGATTTCTGATAAAGGGGTTAGTGTTAAGTAGTCTATAAAAGAATCCTGGGATGTCCTTCCAGATGGCGGACCAGACAACTTCTGAGTTGAGTGAGGGTTGAGGAGTGAGGAATGATCAGTTAAGGGAACTGGGATTCACCCCACGTGTCCTGTCTGTGTGTGCTTCCTCCAGGTCCTCGGCTGGTAGCCGTCTTGCTCCCCCTCCTCATCTCCTTCCTCCTGGATGAAAACGCCCTCGGCTTGGCACCCGCAGCGTCCCGGACTCTCCATGAGGTAGCGCTCAAGGACCTGATGCGTCTCGGCCCCCAGCACTCAGTTGTCTTCAGGTAAAACTGCTACACAGCTCATTGGTGTCAAATTAGGATGTGTGTGTTGTATGTATGGTTTTAGGCGCCCCCACCAACCCCTCCTGTGGACACGTACAAGTGAAGGCTGCTGTAGAAACACATAATAAATGACAGTATATTAAAACACAACTGGAGTCGTATGTATGTCTATATAGGAGACATTAGAACAAATGCTGAATGTTGACAAACACTTCACTGTCCTGTGGCTGCTGCGGCTTTCCTATAAACTGTTTCAGGTGGTGATTTTATTTATCACCCCTCCCTCAGATCTCTCATCGCGTCATCTCCTCACCTGAAGTCTCGTCTGGAAGCTGCCGTCAAAGGAAACCAGGAGAGTCTGAATGCTAAAGCTAGCGGCGCTAGCCCCTCCCCTCACAGAAGTGCCAAGTCCTCCCCCAGCATCACTCTCAAAACCAACTTCCTGTAGATGACAGAGTACAGGTGATCTCTGGAGCCTACCCTAGCTACACCCTGTGCTGCCTTCACTGTCCCCTGGGACAAATGGCACTGCTGTTGTCTGAGTGATGGCAGACAGAGAAAATGCCACATTATCAAGTGTCCTTTCACAAAGACCAGATCAGGAACATGATGTTGTTACGAATCCTCCAGCATGGTGGCGTCTCTTCCATCAGCACCAAAGAGACGCACAAAGCATCTGTAGAATCACTCATCACAGGCATCGGTAATGTTATTACCCATCATTCACTTGTTTAAATCACCCACCAGTGTTCAGAGCGACTGATTCCTTCCAGGGAGAAGTTGGTTGGTTACAGTTCATTTCTACAAAATCCAGCGGCAGAGTCTGGAACCTGCTACAGAAAAATAACCCAGTGATTGGTAGAACACTAACAATCCTCGAGAGTGTTAACAACTCTTTGTTTGAAACTGCTCTTCATAATGAGAGTTGGCTCAGAAGAGCTTTGTTATTCTTCTTTACAGCACTAACATTTACTTTTTCAACAGCAAAACTCATAAACATTCAGTGTGTATGGGTGCTGATTCTCCTCAAGTCTGAGTGTCCAAAGGAGAACGTGTACAGTCCTGCTGTCAGATGCTCTACAAGCTGTGATACTGTAGCTCTGACGCCTGAGAGACGGATAGAACACCGACAGTGATGGGTGACATGTCAGTCACTGCAGGAGGGTTTTCACAGACATGAACTGAAGCCAACAGCAACAACTCGGTCTAAATCTCATTTAGGATGTGGAAAAAGACTTTCGGGCTGTGGCCAAGGCCTCTGTCTGAAACAGGGCTCTACTAGAGAAAGGCCTTATTCTGATGGACTGTTTCATAAGTAAACCTGATAATGATTTAGTGGGAGTCCTGCCTCCTGTCTGAATGTTGATACAGACCAACACCAGCTGTGTGTTTACATGTTGTCTTGTTAAATTCACTATAGTCTCCAGTTCCACAGTAGTAACTCCCCAGTACAACACAGTCGTGTGGAAACACTAACATTGTTCACATGCACTGATTCATTCAGTTGCTTCTATTTTGATCTTTATTTTTTCAGTCACCAGTAAAACTTCATAACACTTCCTGCAGAAATATTTGAAATGTCGTGAGCCGAGTGGTGGCACGACCGATGGAGTTGGTGCTGTGGAAATGAGCCTTCTGCTAAATCACGTGAATCATTACAACACAGTTTGTGCTTGGTACAAAAAGGTAATGGGCTAAAACCTCAGTGTGGGTCTTCATTAGTTAAGTATATCTTCCTGTTTAGTGTGGAGGTGCTGCGTCTGTGTGTGAAGAGGTAACCACCTGCCTCAGTGTCTCCGATCACTAACAACTTCTAGGACTTTTATTTGCAGCAAGCTGAACTTTATCACTTTGAACTCGTCCACAGCTGGAATGAACTTTTTTTCACGTCAGATAAGCTGAAACTAACCGGCTGATGATCCTGAAGTATTTCTGTTAGTCTGTGGAAGGCACAGTCCATTTCAATCACAAAGCCAATGTTGGATTTCACAGTTGAAGTTTTTATACAAAAAAACCTGAATTTGTAGCATTTTGAGATGAAAACATTCAGTCTTAAGAATAGTTTATCACCAGTTTTCATACAAAGTCACAAGAAATAGTCATGGCATTTTCCTGATTTTCTGCATGAACTGGTCATGAAATCTGACCTGATCTTCACCAAAGTCACAAATATCAACAAACACAATATTTCTAAGCTGATAAAACACAAACTGTCCTGATCTTTCATGTCTTTATTGAACACAGCCATTAAACAAACAGTGATGGTGGACAAAGTCATGGCAGCACCAGACTTCTGACGTCACTGAACGTCATCTGGAGTCAGGTGTTAGCAAACATGGAGTCCAGTCAATGAAACGAGAACGGAGGTGAGGTTTAGGACGACCTGGACTTACAGAAACACTCGGTGTCAGTGTGCTGTTATAGTGACTCTGATCACTGATGTGAAATAAGCTTCTCTCTTCTTTTTTTTAACAGTAAATGAAGATCATAGGTCAATGGCCATCTTGTGGAACAGTGACATCTTTCTTTGACCTTTGAATAATGTTAAAAGGATTTGATTTAATTTTTTTGATTTGTTGCGTTTAGTCTTATCTGGCAAATCACAGGAAATCAACCTGGAGGCTCTGCTATGGTAGCCTTTAAGGGACAAGTTAGTTTTCAGCTTTAGTCATCAGTACTTAATACTTAGATTAATAACACTACAGCGTCATAAAATCCACCAGATCATGTTTAGTCCGTCGTCTGCAGTGGAACCTGTGGGTCTAAAGAAGTTGGTTTGATTGGTTAGAAAAGACTTGTATTGTCTAAATGTCAGTGGCCCGAGTAGAATCATTTCTAACATGACTTTTTTGGATATCTCCGTCATAAACCAACACTAAAGATTTACCTGCACTAACAGTTTAATCCAGGTGAGCGCCTCTCTGCTGGACACACACACCTGCTGTGTGAGTGTGTATGTGTGCTCACCTGGGCGTCTGCTCTGTGATCTGTACAGGTGTGAACTGGTTAACCAGTTCTTTTCTAACAGTAACTGAATAAAGTGTTTTTTTTTCTTCAGCTTCTACTTTGTCTTTGCCATGTTTGTTTACTTAAAAGCCCTAAAGTCACAGAAGGAGCTTTCCTCGCTCCAGAAGACGTCTCAGCCTTCTGTCTCTGTACATTGCTAAACATGGTGGGAAATCCACCAGCTACCTAGCAGTTGACAACTTTTGTCCAACCAGCAGTTGAAGCCAACCAGTTATTAGTACATCCAATGGTGCACAGTAAAAATGAACTTTTGAGGTGAGTTGCCCCCTGGGCACCTTGCTCTGGAGGTCTTCTGGGTATGTCCAACTGGAAGACGGCCTGGGGTAGACCCAGAACATGTTGAAAGGATTATATATCTCATCCAACCTGGAAACGGCTCAGGGTCTCGGGGGGAGCTGGAGAACAGCTCTAGGGAGAGGGACATCCGGATGGCCCCGCTGAACCTGCTGCAACCTGACCTGGCCCCAGATATAGGAGTGAAAATAATCAACTTTGACTGTTCTATTCCACCGTGACACAGAGCTTTGCTGCCGTTACCTTCACTGGGGGATTTGGCAATGAATGGAAGCATCCTCTGAGTGAAAGTGTGTGTGAAGGTGTGTATGTGTGTGTTAGTGTCAGGATCAGAGAACGACAGCGTTCCTCTGCTCCAGTCCAGGTTCACTCTGATACTTTTGGGCTTCTTCTGCACTGGGAGAACAGTTGGTGGAGCTGCTGTTGGTGACCATGTTTTGTATTTACCCTCAAAAAACCCCATTCCCCAGAATCCAGACCATATGCCATCGTTCCTCTGCACAGACTGTAACACACCCAGTAACCAGCCTGTACTGTCTCCAACCTCGACATCCCAGCTGTGAGTCCCTGAGTCAAAGCCCTCAGAGCCCAGGACAGAGCAGTAATAATCTTTAAACCTCTCTGGATTGTCAGGAAGCTGCTGCTCTTCTCCTCGACTCACACTGGTCAGATCTTCAGACAGGATGAGTCCTGGACCAGCAGAGTTTGGATCCAGGACCACAGGAGTGTAGGAGACCTTGTCCTTCATGCTGTTCCAGATGTTGAAGGCCAGGTTGCCCAGGTGTTTGGCCTGGTCTATCAGAGCTCCTGAGGGCAGCTGTGGATCCTCCAGCAGGGGGCGCCGCTGGACTCTTTCCACTGCAGCCTTGTAGCTGAGCAGGAAACGTCTTCAGCTCTCAGCTGCTCCTCTGTGGCTCTGACTGTGTCTGACAGAGCTGCTATCTCTCTGCTCAGAGCCTCCGTCTTCTCCTTCATCATCTGACTCTTCTGCTTCTCTTCCTCCCTCAGTGCAGCCATCCTGGCTTCCTCTTCCTCTTTTAGAAACTGGTGAAGCTTCTGAAACTGCTCCTTAATCTGCCTCTCTGTGTGTCGGGCCTGGACCTGAATGTGTCCTGCTGCTTGATCGAACTTTACTTTAACTCTTTCAAAAACCTTTAACTTCTCCTTTAAAGGCTCCAGAGTTTCCTTGAGGTCCTTCTTGCGTTTTCGTGCAGCTTTATCGATGGGTCTGAACCTGTGCTCACTGTGTATTTCTGAGTCTCTGCAGACGAGACACACTGGCTGCTGATGGTCCAGACAGAAGAGGCTGAGGTTCTCAGAGAGCAGACTGCAGAGAGTCTCCTCTGGTCTGGAAGCCATTTAGTCTCTGAGTGCAGCTGAAGTCACAGCAGGCAGACAGATCAGACAGGAGCTCAGTCTCAACCTGTTCCCTTAAAGTTACTTTCACTCCAAGACTCTGTTTTTGTAAAACTCTACTTCAGTGTGTGGATTCAGCAGCAGGCTGAAGTGGCTCTACTCCAGTATTCCCACGCCTTCAGTGTGTGGAGTGTCAGCAGGTTGAAGCAGCAGTGGAGTTTTCCACTTGTCTGTCCTGTAGCTGGACTCGGAGGAAGTAGTTAGTTTGATCTGAAGGTCAATCTGATCATCTCAGTCTGTGTCTCTGCAGTGACAAAGAAGAACAGACTGTTTCCTGCTTTGTCTCAGATGAGACAGGTGAGGGGCGGAGCTTTGTCACCTCTCTTCTGCTAAATTCTGGTTCTTCATCTGTGACAGGCTGAGTTTCATTCCAAAGTACTGATTCACTGCTGGGACAGTTTCCTGGTAGTGTGCAGCAGGATGTTTGTGGCACGTCAGCCTTTAGCTGTGTGTGAACGTAGAGACTCAGGCAGAGTCTGTTCAGCCCCTCAGTGGCCATTTACCTGTTTGTGCTGATATAATAGACCTGACTGATTTACTGATGATAGTTTGTATTATTACTTTGAATTTGCAGAGTAACCAAAGTTATCAAATAAATGCAGTTGGAATAAAAAGTATTTCTTAATTGTAGTGAAGTACAAAAAATATCGAGTACAAGTACAGTACTTGAGTAGATGAACTTAGTTTTGACCTCTGATGATGAATATATAATTATTTCTAGTTGATGGACTGTGTGTTTGCCGAAAACAAGAGCAGCCCCTACTTTTTCAGAAAAAGTTTATGTTGACATTCGTTATTAAATTTTGTTGAGTAAATCAGCTGTATTTTTTATTTACGGAAGTTTCTCAGCGGAGTTCGGCGTCAGCTTCGGTGCCACAGCTAGCTGATCGCTAGCACTGCAGCTAACACTAAACTCCGTGCAGATCTGTGTTAAATTATGATAACACTTTTTTTATTTACGATAAAAGCAAATATAAATATTAAAGCTGAAAACGTTTCTGAACCAGAGAGATCTCTCTTTGATTCGGCATAAACATGGTCCACCAAAAAGAATTCCTTCAGTCACATTTCCCTTTTCTGTTGTCTGGACTCTGTCAATGCTTAATTATTTTTTCGACTGTTTCTGAAAGACCGCAATTAAACAACAGAAGAATAAAAACCCAAGTTTTCTACAAAACGCAAATTAGAATGAAAGTTTACAACAAGTTGTCATTGTTATTTATGTCAATAAAGTTTCGCTGGAAAAAACTACGTCTCCTAAGGTCGTCTGAACGTCTGAGGGAAACAACAGTGTTTTCTTGTAATCTTCATGTCTTTTGTCACTTATGCCGGTGTTTACGTCACATTTAAAACGTGACATCACAGTGACAGATGGATTAATTTTGAAATCGGATATTTAATGTTGGCTAAATAAACTGCAGATTTCAGGATCCACCTTAAACAGTAGGTAGGTTCCGTGTAGCTGCAGCCTGAAGAGAAAACCAGTAACAAACTGGTTCGCTACAGACACCTGCTGGGTTCTGTGGCTCACCATGAATTTCTCTGAAGCAAAATCAGAGCTGAAGCAGCTGCTGAGCAGCGTGAGTCCGTCCGAGCTCCCGAAGCTGCTGGACTGGATCAGAAACTCAGGTAAACACTTCGCCTGCTGCTGCACATGGTCTGAGTCCTAGTCCTGGACATGAGACGACGTCTGCAGCTGCAGTCCGGCATCATTACATCATTTACCAAGTCGTTATCATCGGCTGAATCCAGAAACTCGAGCCTGTTCCCTCATCACAGCTTCATTAAATGCAATTAAATAATTATACTGTTAATAAATATTCACAACGTGGAAGTAGATAACTATCTACTTCAGTGTGGCTGGATCACTTCTCTAGTCCCCTGCATCTCTAGATGTATGTGTTTAGCTCACGTACTGTGTATAGGCCTATCTCTATGGTGGAAGAAGTACTCAGATTTACTTCAGTAAAAGTAGTAATATCACAGTGTATGTTCTGTAAAAAGTAGAAGTCCTGCATTAAAATATTATTTATGTGAAAATACAAAAGTATCAGCATCCAAATATACGTATCAGCAACAATTTCAGTCTTCAAATAATCAAACGGTTGTGGACCAAACCAGCAGCTCAGGTGGGAGAATAAATAACAGCAACTGGTCTTAGTGGAGGGAAGTGTTCAGTTTCAGCAGTATAACTGGATCTGGATCATAGTGACTAATTACTGTGTCCATCACTTTAATGCTGCAGCTGGTAAAGGTGGAGCTGATGGTAACTACCTTATATACTGATACTGGGAAGTACTTTCCATCCTGCTGGGTAGCTGGTGGATTTCCTACTGGGATCAATAGAGTCTGATGGTTCTACTGGGTTTGGTTTGATTCATCTGGTTCTGGACCTGAAGGTATCAGGTACATGTAGTGTAGTAAAAAGTACACGGTTTGTCTCTGACATGGAGTCACAGGATGAAGGAGCAGGATGTGGAAGTACTCAGGTGAAATACAAATAACTCAGAACTCAGAAAGTACTTGAGTAAGTGTACTGAGTTGCTTTCCACCACTATTCATTCATTATGTATTTGTTCTTCTGTCAGCTGGGTGTACACATCCGTCCAGTGGTGAAATGTACATTTACTCAAGTGCTGTACTTGAGTACACATTAGAGGTACTTGGACTTTATTTAAGTTTTCTTTTCACACTACTTTATACTTTTGTGTGGGGTGCTTTTACTTTTGACACATTTTCCTGATTATACTTACATAATTTTACTTAAGTAGTATTTTAAATTCAAGTCTTTTACATGTAATAAAGTATGTGAGTACTTCATCTTAAATGAGGCAAAGGAGTATTTCATTCACCAGACAGAGGAAAACCTTTACCTGCTCTCCTCTCAGTATAAAGGTGTGGTTCTGGTCCTGGTCAGAGTGAGTGACTGTGACTACATTACCCAGAAGGCTGTGTGTCTGTCTGCTGCAGATGAGCTGGACCACCTGCTGGCAGACAACAGGAGGGTGATGCTGCGGAGCATTGCAGACGACCTGAGAGCGCGTCTGCCTCTGGACGCCATGCTTCCCTCTGAGACTGCCGCCCTCCACAAGGTACTCCATTAATGCTACACAGTACTGGTAACAAGAACTATAGTGGACTGTTACTGGAAGAGAAAACCGTGCTAGGGTAAGGTTCTGGATAAAAGACGAACAAGGCTTAATAAGAGCATATTACATAAAGACTGAATAAAGTCACAGTGGTCAAAATTAACCAAGTACAGTCTGCGGTACTTGTATCGCACTGTGTTTTTTGCTGCACTACATTTCAGAGGGAAATGAACTTTTACTACATTAAATGTATCTGACGGCGGCAGTTACTGTTTACTTTTCACATTAAGGCTTTATAAACACAACACTAGTTATAATGAAGTTTTTAAAAATTTGGTTGTATTTCTGCTTTTATTCAAAGTACAGCATCTGAATACTTCTTAAGTTTATAACAACAATAAGCCCCCTGTGAAGAAATGTCCCATAGTATTAAAACTAACAGTAACGTTATCGTACTGTAGCTTACTGCTAACAAGTGTCGCTCCATTGTGCTGGTTTATGTTGATCTTCTTTTAGTTTTTCTCAGTGAGGCTCCTGTCTGAAATATTCTTTATGAATAATATTTTTATGTTATTACTAAATATCGGTGTTACTGACTTACGGAGTCAGAGGTTCTCTGTAAACCTGCTGCTCCACCAGACTCTCAGGCCTAACTGAGATCCGCTCTCAGCGACTCCGCTTGTAGGATAATGATGAAGGTGAAGCTGCTGGTGCCTGTACAGATGCAGCAGCGGTCTCGGCCGACGGTTCACGTGGATGGCTTCCTGTACGATGACGAGCAGGTGGACGCTCTGTGCGAGGAGGGAGTCATGAGCCGCACCTACTGCCTCAACTGTGGGTCCTCCAGGACCGCCCCTCTGGGTAGGAACACGTCATCACTGAAACACGTAATTGATAGCCAGGGGGTGTGGTGGGGTTCCAGCTACATATATATTTGTCCATTATGTCATTGCTGCATGTCTCATAGGCCTCAGTGTTGCCAGCTATTGTCAGTGGAAAGTAGTGAAAACCTGCCTGAATACGAAGCTCATTCACGCTTCTGTCTGGCTGCTGATTGGTCGACGAAACAGTCAGTCCACAGCCACACGAGAACACATCAGAGACTCCGAGAGAAAATGGCTAAGCTGGTAGCACTGGTCGGCTGACGTCATGTTAACACTCACTATCTAACTGGGTTGTGGTTGGCCAGTGACCTGAACACGCACACAGCAGCTCTCGTGCACAAATGACAGGCCGACAGGGCCGGTAAAATCTTGACATAGGTTTGATGGTCCACAGATGCGGTGAACCGGGGTGTGTCCCAGTGGGACCAGTGGCCCGTTCACCACTGCACATCATCCTGAAACACGTAATCCTCAGCACCTCATCATGTGACAGGTCTGCACCAGGCAGACATCTACCTGAGCTTTCTTGTGGATCTGGACATTCGTACGCCCTGAGAATGCCCCGTCAAGTCTGCGAGTGCAGTGAAGTCGACACGTTATGTGCACAAATCCACATTGTCACCGTTTTCTTCTTCTCCTCCTGCAGACTTCATCTCTCACTCGTTCTCAGCGTCAGAGCTTCAGTTTCTTTTCCAGAATGTTCTCCCAGACCTGAGTGGTCGGACATTGGTGGACGTCGGATCCAGACTGGGAGCTGTGCTTTATGGGGTCTGAGGTCTCACACACACACGCAGCAGATACTGCAGGTTCATTCACCTGCTTTAATGCACATTTTCAGTTTGCACATAAACTAAAACACCTGTGACGTAAGTGAAAGTGTCTCCTGCTGTATGAAGTGTGACACTTTAATCCAGAGAGGAAGGCTGGCCCGTGTCTGGTGCGTATTTTGCAGTAGACTGCCGCTGCACCAACACAATAACTGCTGCTCTGGAACACCAGGCCAACCTAAAACCCGTGACCCTTCATGGCCTCTGTAAGGATGGAGGAATAAAGAATACAAATCTGTAGTAATACAAAACTACAGTATCTCACAAGTGTGCATATTGTAAGAACAGCTTTCAAACCTACTGAAAATGATCTGCCAATAAAAACCCTGTTGTGTCTGTGTGTGTCCAGGGCTACGTGTACAGCTCCGCCTCTCAGCTGATCGGCCTGGAGCTGAACGAGGAGTTTGTCCGACTGCAGAACGACGTCCTGGACAGATACAGACTGAAGGACAGAGTTCAGGTGAGCCCAGCACTAGACGCTGTGTTCAAGGCCGCAGGAAATGTAACAGCTGATTCACAGGTTTATTGTTGCTGTTTTCTTTGTAAATGTGGTTAATTAACAGATGAACATCCTCGACACAGCTGCATGCTCGTTTATGTACCAGGCCACCTTGTCATTTAGTTCAAAAAGTGCTGTGTAAGTAAAGCTTGTAATATTAATTATTAGTAGTAAACTCACACTTCATTACGGATTGGTTTACAAACTTCAAGTCACACTGGTGACTTCATGACTTTCCTGTTACGCTCGAACAAATCCATTTTTTCACACAGTGCCTACAGTGAAAGTCACAGTGTTTAAAGTGATCAGGGTAAAGTACAAACATGACTCCAAACTGTGTACACAGAGTAGAAGCAGGTTCTGATGAGTAGACTCTGGTCTCCTGCAGGTTCTCCATGCAGACGTCTGCACGCAGGACGCTCTGCTGCACAGCACCGACATCCTGGTCATGAACAACGTGTTTGAGTACTTCATGGAGCCCAGCGAGCAAGTCAGGTGACCACACACAAAATACTGAAATATGCACAAAATACACAGAAGGACACAGGAACAGACATGGCACTGATGGTTGTTGTGTGTGTCAGAGCATGGAGGTTCATCATGCAGAACCTGAGGAAGAGAGGGTCTCTGCTGGTGACTGTTCCCAGTCTGCAGGAGAGTCTGAGCGCTCTGCAGGTAGAACTGACACACCTCTCTACACACACCTGTACTCATAGACCCACTGTCTGTGCTCTTTCATTAACAATCACTAAAGTGTCTGACAGTGGAAATGAGACTAAAACAATTTACAAAATGACCTTTTGAAAATAAAAACTATGATGAACCAAGTTATTTTCTGTTTTGACATTTATGTTAACGTTTTATTTAGTTTATTACCAGGAAATATGTGATGTACTGTTTACATTCTCAGTTTGCACAATGACTCTGCTGCACATGCTGCTCCCATGCAGCATACATTCTCTTATTATATTCTTGTATATTTCTTACTATGTTGCTGCTTAAAGTGCCTTAGATTTTGTGTTACTTCTTTATCTACTTTATATTTCATTTGTATTTTGTGACATTCATGTGGACGGCAAAGTAAGAATTTCATTGCACAGGGAAACACGTTTCCTAACTGTGCATATGACAAATAAACACTTTGAACTTTGAACTATTGTTGTGCAGCATCAGATATACAAGCATGTAGAACAATAAATAAAGAGACAACACAGGCACAAAACAACCACAGGATGTGTGTCTGTCATTAATGTTAGCTAACGTGCACAGGAAACCTATTTATGTGCTAAAATTCATCTACAGTCCAAGTGACAATGAAACAAAAGGCAGCAACAAAACAGCTGCCACAACCCAGAAATACTGTGAATTCATTATTGTCTGCCGGACAAAGTAAAACTGGTGTCATTGTTAGAAAGCTAACTAACCACCAAGACAATGAACTAACCCGTTCCCCAGCTGTCCTCAGTGTTTCCTGATTGTGTCCAGCAGGTGGCACTGCAGCCCGGCTGGGTAGAGGAACTTCCTGTGAACTGCGACATTTACCTGGGCAGAGAGGCAGACCCTGACGCCCTCAGACAGATCCACCTGTATCAGGTCATGTGAAGCCATCTAGAGTCATCTGGACTGGACTTAACTGGACTGCTTGAAACTGGTCTCCATTGGTACCACCTGGGACAAACTAGTTTGTACTGGTTTGACTTTATAAATGAAAAAAAATCTTCATTTTCACTTCCATTTAGGACAAACCTTATTCTGGACACTAAGAGAAAAATGGTGCATATGAATCACTCTTTTTGTAATCATTTCTCAACTAAGATTCAATAAAGTTTTCTTTCCTTAGTTATTTGAATTTTATTTTATTTATTGGACATTTTTATTGCCCAGAGATAAGCATACCCCCATGGAAACATCATCAGACCACAACAAGGACCCATTTTTCTTCTTATTATTAATTTTATTCAGTGAAATAAGCTATTATCGGTGAGACGGATTGCACTGGTCTTTATGTGAAAACACAAAACGGCACGTATTTTAACACCCTTGTCATTATTGTGTCAGTGTGCTGTTGGTTTTCATCTGAAACTCTTCATTTAAAGACAAACCAACATTTAAAGAGGTGCTATTTGAAAACAGAGGTATTAACTTCACAACTCTTTGCTAAAAATTAGCCTGAATCTGATTTTTAGGAGATTTGAAATATGTTTAATGTTTAATTTTAGGTTTATGATTATAACAGTTTTCAGTTATCATCCTAACGAGGGCCACGGGGGGCTGGAGCCAATCCCAGGGCCATCCTGGACAGGTCTGAAAAGCAACATGGACACTAAAACCTTTACAGTGTGTTGTAGGTCCAGAACACAAACCTTTACTCAAAGCCCTCAAACAACTAGAAGACAAACCTTTACTCAAAGCCCTCAAACAACTAGAAGACAAACCTTTACTCAAAGCCCTCAAACAACCAGAAGACAAACCTTTAATCAAAGCCCTCAAACAACTAGAAGACAAATCTTTACTCAAAGCCCTCAACTAGAAGACAAACCTTTACTCAAAGCCCTCAAACAACTAGAAGACAAATCTTTACTCAAAGCCCTCAAACAACTAGAAGACAAACCTTTACTCAAAGCCCTCAAACAACTAGAAGACAAATCTTTACTCAAAGCCCTCAAACAACTAGAAGACAAACCTTTACTCAAAGCCCTCAAACAACCAGAAGACAAACCTTTACTCAAAGCCCTCAAACAACCAGAAGTCAAACCTTTACTCAAAGCCCTCAAACAACTAGAAGACGACCCTCTGCTGGACTGTCGTCGGGTACCCTGTTGGGCTCTTGTGTTTTCCTTTCAAAGAGGTAAGTAGGTCCTCTCAAAAATACAACAGATGTACAGTTTCGTATAATTTAACTAAAAGACAAACGTGCTTAAAGACCCTACACACCCACACAGGTGTTTTCAGTCATTCTGAATGGTTAGACATTCAGAACTTTCCCGGATGTCCTCACTTTACAAAATGTTGTCCCAAAACTTTCCAAAAACGGACCTTTTTCCAAACGTATCCTTGATCTCAGAAATGCACTGACTTTCCAAAACGCTGCTCACTTTGCAGGAACGTCCTTTTCTAAAAATGTCTTCTCCCTTT